TAAANATATATTATATATTTAAACCACAACCTTGCTTATAAACTAAAACTAAGTTCATAACTGTATCCATAGAAACAATTTTTTTCGCAGAATATTGGATTTTAATATTTCTTTAGTTTCATCATTTTTATATTTAATTGCCTTGGTCTATCTTACAAAACACAATGTTAGTTATTTTCTGAACATTTTTTTTTTTTAAATTATTTATAATTTAGAAAGAAAATTGTACTACCTACCTTTTACCTCCATGTTACACAAAAAACATATATTTTAGATTCATAGAAACTAATTTGTTTTATTTATTTAAGACAAACAAATAATATAAGTATTGGAAAGCATATTTTGCAATACTGTAATGAATAAAATAGTTGGTTTAGTGCTTAAGAAATAATGACCTAAATAATAATTATATAGGTACTACATTTTTATTATTATATTATTGTTATAAATTATAATTCACAACATTTTAATACCAATAAATATTTATTCTGTTTTAGATTACAGAAAATGAAGATCCGTTAAAGGCTGAAACATATTTAAACATCTACTCAGGATTTCCTGGTTCATCATTAGAAGCTATAATGGAAAATTGTATAACACTTAAATTGGGTTTTGTTCCATATCAATTGAACCATTCCATTTATATCTCGGAATCGCAAAAAAATGTAAAATACTATTAATTTTATGTTTTATTCTCAGATTTGTAGTTGTCGCAATATTGAATTAAAATATTTAGTTACTTTAAATGAATACTTATAGACTTCTAATGATGCATTGGTAAATAAATTACAATATGCATTTTAAAAAATTTCCACTCAAAGAATATTATTTACAAAGTCATTCAATTTAATATTATCAATATATATACCTTATATATTCCAATTGAATTGAAATTAAAATTGATATGGCACTAATATATGCAGCACTCAATGATCACTAAACTTGTTAAAATTTAAAAATAAAATAAGTATGGAAACCTTTAACATTAAAATTAAAAATTTATGCGAGATTTAGTGAGTAATGATAACAAATTTTTATCTCAAGTCTATACATATAATAATAGTTTTATTTCAAGTATAAGCAAAAAAAAAAAAAATAATAATAATCATAATACACTAATAACTTTCTAATACATTACTGTGAACTCCAGTTTTCAACATTGTTTGAAAATAAATTATATTTAAATAAAAAATATTTTGTTTCAACTTCTGTCAATTGACATTTTATTTTTATATAAAACAAAAATATATATTATGTTATGAGCTTAATCAAATTCTCTAAAGTAAGATATATTATATCCTTATATATTTAATTTAGGGCATGTGGTTGTTATCAGGAAGTGATAGAAAAATACACGCTTATAAAATTGAAGAGCAGGAAATTCTAGGACAAAATATTGAAGAATATTTTATCGAATTTGAAGATACAAAAGACTCCATTGTTTTGTGTTTTGGCACAAAATCATTTAGTAACTACAAAAAGTAAATCATTATTTTTTAAATTTTATTTCAAATTAAAAATATTTCACTGTTTTAATATTTTAGAAGAATGTCATATTACGGATGTGAAACAGGGTATTTAATGTTTGCAATAGTAGATTCAGAAAAAAATCAGATACTACATCGTTTTTTAGAACGTTACGAGTCACCAATAACAGTCATGCAATTGTTTAACATAAATAAAAAAACAGTTGACTTAGACAATATTCTCTCAGGTGTTTAATAATAAAACCTTACACTAGAATTTTGATAGTCCAGAGTTCCAGACCGTTATATAATCCAAGTTACATCCATAAAATATAATAATCCTTTAATATTTAATTGTACCTTGTTCAAATTCTCAGAATACAACTAACTTTTAAACCAAATTTAAGTTTTGGAATTCTCCCCACCATTCTCGAGCTTGTACTACACTATAGTTCAAACTTGTTTTAAAAAGAAAGTTGAAGGCATTACTAAAAAAATCCGATTTCAATATAATTAACATTTAGTTCCTTTTTTTTCAAATTGATAAATAAAGATAATAAAACAAAATACCTTGGTTATAAAGTACCATAGAAAACCTTCTGAAAATGCTAGGCAATAATGTCTGATTATTTCTGGACTATCAAGATCCTTCTATTTTCTAAAAATACTATTGACTTTTCACTTATTAGTATTGTTTATGTATAATTAATAGCAGTTAAAGATGATTTCATACCAGATTATGACACTCTCGATGAAAAAGAACAAATCTGTTTACTAGTAGGGAGTGCAGTTGATAATGCTGTTGTATATATGCAAGTACTGGTAACTTAGTTTTATAAAATAATAACTGTTAAAAAAAAATATATTATGAGTATATTATTTTTGTTTAAGGAATGTGTTGAATAACGATTTAAGAAATGCAATTACATTGACCGATAGCAATAGACATCAAGCTATTGCGTGTGCCTTAATCACAGATGTAAATTTTGATTCTAAGAACGAAATACTACTTGGGACTTATGGAAATGTAATTGATATCAAACATACATTGACATATCAAATATTAAAACTGCTTATAATGAAATTATAAAATACTATTTGTTTTAGTATATTTTAAATTATGTCTACGAAAATAACAATTGGGTGGAGCAACAACAATTTGACATGAGAGACTCGGTGTATACAATTTGTTATTTAGATATAGTTGGGGAAGGAGTGAATGATGTAGTTGTAATGAGTGAGAGAGGAATTCATATTTTAAAAGTAAGTAATCAATAGTTATCATAATATATTGTATTATTTCTCAAAATAATGAATTCAAACAAATAAAAATATTTTGATATGTATAAATATTAATTTCAATGCCAAAAATTGAGAGAAAAAATGTATTTTATGAAGTTTAGTAGGTAATTTACACCTAGAAAACAAACTATACTACAGGTACTTCTTCCAGTATGTGAAAATACAAGGTAGCACCAAAAACCTGTTAGAGTTTCCTCCTTAACATACAGGAGACTTGTTTTCTTAGATTTAATGAACTTCAGTTGTCTATACTTTTAAGTGTTCATCTGTAAATTATTATTAATTGTGAAATATAAATTGAAAGCTATCATTCATTACTTATCAAATAATATTTTTTTTTCTGTTGCAGCATGAACCTAAGTATATAGTTGAAGTACTAAAAAATCGTTTAAAACTATAGAAAACAGAAGATTGCTGAATTTACTTATTTAAATTGTGAGCTTAAGATAAATAAATGTTAATGTTCATTAATATGTGACTATTTCATTTGTTTAATACACTTTCAATAAAATCAAGATGAGCTTAAAATTAATTTACAGTTAAATTAAATACCTATTCTATTTGTGAATTAAAAATGCTTTAGAAGTCGTCACTTCTTCATGGTATTTATTTTTTAAATAATATTGGATATTTTCAAGTTACCTATAAATTCAAACCATCAATTAATAATGCAAAATAAAAGGTATTATAGAATATAAATATTCTCTATTTTATTAATTTTGAGTATAAAAAAAAAAATTAAGCTAAATGGTAAGTATGGCTGAGAGATTCTAGAATTAAAAATTAATTACTGACCATATTATAAACATAAAATAACATTCTTTTATTTATAACTTTAGTAGCCTTTAAATATTTTATAAAAGGTATTATAAACAGTTGAATATCTTGTATTAATATGTGTGGGAAATTATATGAAAACACCATAGTTCTATTCTAAACAAATGTTTTTAAAATTTAAAATAAACCATAAGTATATATCTTTAAACATAATTTTTTTTTAGAGGGCACCTATTAACATTTAAATTGCATTCAATATAAATAGCGTTAAGGAGGATATCCAATTGCTAGTTCTTGGATGAGCTGTCACTTTTGTATCTAAGCTTTACGGTATGCCATATTGCCATGCTTTATGCCAAGGGTGGCGGACTTTTTTTAGATCTAGTGCCAAATTTTTGCAATAAAGGGTTTGAAAATTTTTCACGTGCCCAAAGTTTGTAAACACTAAAAAGGACATAATAAATATAGTAACATAATCATTATTACATATAGAAAAATTATAACTTAAAAATATTTATAATTTATTCCTTTGAATATTTTACAAGCAAATTTTTAAGAATAGCATAATTTTTAGCGTGCCTTTGAAATTTGACAAACTGCCACTTTTGGCACGCGTGCCGTGGGTTTACCACCCCTGCTTTATGCTATATAATTCAGTTATAAAACCATAAAATTCATAACTTATAAACCATAATCGATCAAAATAAATTAACTGTACTATTTGATTTGTTTTTTTTTTTTAGATTACATTTTAAAATAATAAAAAAATTGTTCACCCAACATTGTAAAGTAAATTACTTTAATAGCAATATCATGATATGTACCAAAGTAAATTAGGCTAATGGTTATTCTTCACTCATGTCTTTTCAAAATCATTTTTTGTACACAATTATTTATGTTGAATTAAAATTTAACATATACATTAAAGTGACTTACTCAATGAAGAGGTATACTAGTACTAGAGTTACTGTACCAATAATATATAAAATACTTTTTTTGAGCATCAAATTAATTGGTACCTATTTTAGTGAACTACCTATTAAATTAATATTTTTTTAAACCAGGCATAAAACGTCTAAACTAATAAGTTAAAGTAGTAAATAAATGTATGTACATAATATAACTAGTTACAACACAATATATACCTAAACAATAAATATATTATGTCAATATGAGTACTTCCACATTATATATAATCATGTTAAGTATTTTTGAATTAATAAAATATAATATACCAAAACCTCTTTGCATATCATAGGATCAATCACCTTTAGAGATAGCATCAGGCATATTTGTTTTGATGAGAAAGTGAGTGTTTAATATTAACGTAAATTCAATACAAACATATTATATAATAACTTTTTTTTTTCCAAAGAATTTTATTTTTAAGTAAAAAAACATATACATAATAATTTATAACTAATAATAGGTACTACAATAAAGCTGGATTTAAAAATAAAAATAATATATTTTGAGCAATAATAATGTACCCTAATGGTATTTAAATAACAACCATTTAAAAATCAAATTAAATTGAACAAATTACAAATTTAAGTGATAACGATAGATAACAAATGTAATAACAGTACAATTAGTAGCACCATAAAACAAATTCCTAATGAAGATAAAAAAAAGAATAATTTTGACAATTTTTATTTAACATTTTGTCATTGTAAAAATGATTTTCTTGTTATATAAATATTATAAATGGATGAATTATAACAAATTATAACTAATATTAATAATTCAATTCAGGAATGACAATAGTTTGAATTCCTAAATCTCTTGGATATTTCACTTGAAACAAGTAGTAGTAATAGTAGTGGTAAAATAGTTCTACCGTTCCAATTATAATATGTATGGAATAAAAGCATATCTTTCTTTAGGGTACATTTTGAATTTTGATTGATACCACCAATGATTAAGCATTGCAGATTCACATTGATTACTCAACACCCAAAAAAATATGTATGGCCAAATCTGACTTCCCCAGAGCATGATGTATATGGCCATATACATAAGCATTTCACAAAACAAATGAGGACAAGATATTTTATCAAATAAACCACCAGTTGGAATTTTGTGTTCATATGTTATAACTTTTCCTTCTTTATTTGTCCTCAAATTGACCAAATTTACATTTGCCAAATACTGTTGTTGGAAAGCCCACAGAAAGATAATAAATCCAATGATCAGTCTAATATTTATATCATTAATTAAGAAGTATGACTGATGATCAACAGAAAGTGTGGTGAAAGGTGATGGCGCTTCAGCTAATATGGCGGCTATACAACCAAAGTAGTGTATATAACCAATAGCGTAATGAGAGATGTTAATTTTTGAATTTGAAAAAATACTTAGGTAATGAGTTTCATAAAAACGCTTCCAACACTGGATTAGCATACAAAACATGACAACAGTAGTAGTAGTTGCATTGTATGACGTGCGTCGATTCTTTAATGCTACCATGTTCAGAAAATGTGTTATGAATTCAGGAATAGGCACTTTGAATACAAAAGCTAGTATAACTAACACAAATCCAAGTGTCGACCACACAGCAGCAAATACGTAAAAGTGTTTGAACCAATGTTTCGGTACTTCCAAGTAGTTGACCAAGAAATGTTTCTTTTCACTTGAAAATTTACCATACCTGAATGTTTGCACTATAGACACCGGTAATTTAGATTCAATTAAATTAATTAGAACACTTAAAATGACGATTGAAAATGCCATAAAGGCAAAAATAATCTTTAGAAAAGAAACGTCCATATTGATTGATCAAAACATGTATTCTGAACCAAATAGGTTAGAATTCAGGAGCGAGGAGAGAAAAGAGAAACTTTCCATAATTACGTTTACAGTTAGCTGATGACTGATATTTTTATTTACGATTTACAGTTATTTTTTAAAAATGTTTAGAAGTGGGAAAATTTGATAAAATGATCACCTGTTTTCTGCCATTCACCAATACTGTGCACGTGTCCCTCGTTCATCCAATTCTTTTTTCACTAATTTAAAGCACAAGTACGGAATACAGTTAAAATCTACTTTAACACAATGAAATATGAATTGCACTAGATTAATGAAATAAAAAGTTTGCTTTCAAAATGAATATAAAATTATTAAACATTTTAGAGTACAGATTAATAATGAGTTAATGACGACCACTGACCAGAATCCACAGAAAATAAACTGATAAGCTGTCTTGTTATTGTATGCTGTAAAGTAGTTTGATAACACGTAATGATTTGTTTTTGTATCAGTTATTTAGAAATTTAAAATAAATATTTATTCTGCGTTAATCGTAATAGCACAAAATTATAATAATATAGTGGAATACCTAAATTAAAATAGATTTCATCTATTCCGAGAATTAATTATGAACATTATTCCATGGGACGAAATACGATAATAATAAAATATGATTAATATATTGTGATAATATTGATAATAGACAGTGTAATAGAAAGACTTGACAAAAAAATTATACTAATTAAACGTATGACAAAAATTGTTGATATTATATGATCAGTTAATTCTTTTAAATATAATTCATAGACACTTGCGCTACATTTTTAGAATACATTTTTTATTTTTTAATACTGAAAATAAAAAACTTAAAATTGATAAAATTTTTTTTCGAAATATTCAATATAGCCAATTTGTAAATCTGATTTTTAGAAAAATATATATGG